TGGCCAGAAATAATAAGCACCAAGGAACTCTGGCCGGTAACGAACCAACCAAGAACCTAGCGCTCAACAAATATGTAGAAGGAAGTGGAGATGGGTTGGGCGTACGCTGAGAACACCGACTGGGGACATCGCTCACCAGGCCCTTTAGTGGAACCCAGATGGGAAGCAACGAGCTGGGCTTCCGAGGCGAAGGTGACATGAGGGAGATCGAACGAGGAAGAAATGAGAGCTTGTGGGATGTCGTGGAGCCAGGTCTAAAAGATTCCAGAGAACAGAGTGCACTGAAGACGTCCTACTGAATCCCTATGTTCCATTAGGAACCCAAAGGACAGATGACAATAATACAGTAGGAAACCATAAGTAGCCTGTGTTATAGCTATGTTGGGTCTTCTCTGTGCCCCAGGGAATCACACGAAGGCTGGTTAGGCCGCGAGCTTGCCATACTCTGAAATTTGTAATCGACGGCTGTTCACCATGTCGAGGCTGCCACAGATAGCTACATCCATCATCGAGGCGGGCCATATTTATTTACTATTGGACTGGGCTTATGGAACATAGCGTCGACCGAGGATGCGTGGCCCCTCAAAAACAGTCATTCCCTTCTTTCTCACCTTCCCGTCCGTAAGTTTCACACTGTTGTCATGCCCTTTGCAACCGACGTCACAGGTTGCGGCAGGTCTTTGTATTATGTGCTTCATCCGCAATTCCTTCTGCGGTCCTTTATTTTTATCCCTAACTTTATGGGCATCCCAAGAATGATCCCTCACCGCTTTACTCTCATACGATAAGGGCACTCTCTTGCCGAGAAGGTTGCGTTGGGCATGATAGAATGCACAAATGTCGTCCGTACACTCTAAATGGATCGCGAAACCAATGATGTGAAACTGTAATGGCCAGTAAACTTGGCCATGGTTTCTGTCCGTTATAAACTGTGTATTCAACATCGAAAGCTATTGAATGACGAATAAATTCTAATGTGCTTGTTAAATTTTGCACGCTTGACTTGTCCACAGGAGCACTTGGAATAAACGCGTTGCACTTCAGGATGCGTAGTTGAGGTGACTATTTGGGCCCATCTTCTTGTGGCGGCGGCACAACAGGATAGAAGGTGATATCCGCATTCTCGGTGGAGACGTGAAGAAGTCAGGAAAATGTTTTGTAATACGGCTGCCGGAGAGTGGGCAGTTGGTTTGCCGTATAGCCTGGAAACAGGCTGCCTCTAAGCCATGGCCTCAACGTGGAAGGGAGATGGCGTCAGTAGGCATTGAGGCGTCGCAGCTGGAGGAAGTTGTGGAGACTTGGACATTTTCGGGTGATAGGGTGGCACGTTCCGGCGTGGTCACGTCAGAATATGGAGACGTTGTGGGGTGAGACATCGCTTTTGCACATGCTGCCCTGGGGGACCCCGGCAGAAATGCTGCAGTGCCAATGAAACAGGTTGCAAGCCACGGAAGCACCACTAAAATGGGTCCGAGTACGTCGACTCCCAGTTCCTATACCTGTCCTTTGCCTTTGTATGCTTTACGTGGCCGTGTTAGCTGGCCTCCTTCTCTTCTTAAAAGCGTCTAACAGGCTGGAATAGGATGCCTCTCCGTCGTCTGGGACATCAAGTTGATTTTAGTCATCCGGTGCAGCGGGTGAACAAGGATTGTTCAGTCCTAGACTAAATTCAACTGAAAGGTCTATTTGCCGATGTTCTGTTTCATCCAGGCCTGCAAAACGCCTTAGGGATCTATGCCTGGACAACATACATGCTTCAAGGACTTCATCATTTTTACTTACTTCAACTTTCTGATTAGCTTCCATTTATCGGATTTGCATACTGCCTGTGACATCTGCTGTGTCGTCGTGCCACCTGACCCATATAGTATCGTCAGGAACGTCATACGAAAGTCTCCTGGAGACCACAGCTTCAACAAACTCTTAAATCAAAGCGATGAGCAGTTTTTAAGTGATGTTGCATAACAAAGGTGACGCGGTTTTACCACAGTGTTTCTAGGCTATGGGTTTGAATCCAGTATGCCCGTTGGCAAACTGACCCACTGTCCTAATAAATAAAACTGAAAGTTGAACCAACTCATGGCTGTTAAATTCCACTCCCTCTGCCATCAGGAATTCGCAACCTGGTTCCGACATCCGACATCAAAAATGCCAGTAGAGGAAACTTCTTGTTTTTGAGCTCTCGCCTCTAGGTTTTAAGGGCTGACCAGACGAGCATTTTTCACCAGTCAGATTAAAAGCACTAAAGGGGATGAGGCAAAATATGAAAAAACCTAGTCAAAGCAATTACACCGAAACTCTTCAAAGTCAAACAAAATGAGGAAGGTTGAAAAATGTGGAAAAAGAATTAGCTCCTAAACGGAAAGCTTGACTCTATACCAAAAAGCAATAAAATCTATTTCTGACTTGAATGTTTCCGGGTGAGGTTAAGTATGTAGGCCTTTGGTGCCGAGAACGCACCACCTCCAAAAGTTACGAATGCCACCTTTCTTTTAGAAGCGCGCTTTGGAGAGGAGGTAAATAAGAAGATGATGAGCTCAAGTGGAGAGTTGAGAATTGGTCCTAACTCTTTGTCTCCTACCAACAAGAAAGCCTCTCATCCATGCGAGCAGACTGCCAGTGATTTCAAAATTTTCCAGTTTCCCTAGCAACCTGGGATGAGGTATCTTGTCGAAGGCCTTACCAAAGTCAATGAAAATGACGTCTGCCGCTATCCCATCATCTCAAGACTTAACACAACTTACTCTGACTGTTAGAGAGGTTTCTACGAAAACCGTGATGTGAACGAGACAATAGAGTGTTGCTCCCTAGGTGGACTGCGACTCTCTCTTGACTACTCTTTCTAGGATTTTCGCCGCAGTACTAGCCAACCTTACCAGTCCGTAATTTGATGGGAGCTGCCTAGAACCTGCATTGTGGATACGTGTTGCTATGGCTTCCTTTCGGTCAGAGGGGAGTGTGCCTTCACTGACGGACAGTCTGAATACAGTAGTCAATAAGCCAGCTACACAGAATGCAAGCTCCCTCAGCAGCCTTGGATGCAGCTCATCCGATCCTGTTGAGTTTTCCACGTCGAGATTACTTCATGTCCGGGATACATCACTGCGACCAATAACCTTAGAGCTTATTCTGTTGGATGTCAATGCTTCTACTGTTGGATAGCTGTCCACAGAAGATTCATGTGTGAAGGCTTCAACAAAATATCCAGCCAAGGCTTCTTCTTTTTCCCCATCGCTCGCAATCAAGCGGTCATTTTCGGTCCCATTGACTAGGGCGGCTGTTCCACGACACATCGCATTTCTACAGTCCGTATAGGAGAACGGCCTCTTCGGGTGTTGGAATGCAGCCTGGGCAAGACGTGCTTAAAAGCTGATTCGGGACCGGCGGATAGCAAAAATACATTTATTGCAAGCTTCTTTGTAATGCTTCACCACTTCGGGTGCACAGAGGTGAGTGGCAAGACTCCAACACTTTTTCTCACGTCATAGCGAGGTTTGGATTTCATGGTTTATCCACGGAGTAAAATGTTTCCGTACCCTTGGGACAGTCCACGGAGTGAATGGTTGGGTCACTCGTGCATATAACTGTTTGAAGGGGCACCACACACCTTTAGCTTAGGCTTCTGGGTTAACTGCCCAGTCCTTCAAAGAGGCTACCGGTTTAATAGCCTCTATATTTGCTTTCCATATGTTGGGTCCAGCTAGAGCATCCGGCCTGGCACAAGGCGTCTGCCGTGAATCTGAAAATAATCACAGCGTGTTCACTTTTACCAAGAAGTGCTAGGGTGAGTCATACGTCATCTGTATGTGAGAATACTGAGTCTGGAAGTGATGGGGTGTGCTGGTAATCATATCTGGCTGGTGTCCTAACGTGCTGTATGAGGGCTAAAGAAATTGGTGTTTCCACTAACCTATGGTCAAACGAATTACGTGGTGCTTTTGTTGTCAGTCTATCCCAGTCGACTGATGGTACACTGAAGTCTTCTACAACTAGACATCGACATTTATCTGTCCACAGAGTCAGGTTGCCTAGGAGGAAGTCTGCTGCCTAACAATCGGGGCTTCGATTGATTGCAATTACGTTAACATCTTGTCCCTCGTATTTTAGCTGGCAGCGCAGCGTTTCACATGTCCCACTTTCATGTGCAGCTGTTTCTACGGCCTTTACAGTTGAGTTATTCGTGACGTAAAGGATGACACCGTCACCTTTGCGTGCTAACCTATCACTTCTAAAAGAGACGAATCCTCGTAAGCGTGCTCCACAGTCACTGATCCAAGAAGAGAACCAAGTTTCTGAGATAGCAATGATGTCAGGGCTTTCGTTGCTTATCATATTACTAAGCTCAGTTCACTTGTTTAAGAGACTACGCGCATTTGTGCACAAGACAACAAAACTACTTAAATGAGTTTCCGTTCTATCCATATAGGCGCCGGCATAGTTTGCTACCGAAACCTCACTACACGAAAACCCACTTCTTTCAAATATCGCTCTTCCGCTGCTAACCTGGATTTTGAATCTGCTACTGCTTCTCATTCTTGAACCGATCAGCAAGAGACAGATCCATTCGCATAGACATTGTAGATCCTTGAAGTCTGTGAGCATTCTTTGGAATTTGATTCCTCTCATCTGCCGACTTAAACATGACTCTAATCGTTTTTTTCCGTTATTTTTCTTCGCGCTTTCTCTCACTTGGTTTATCTAGGAATATTTTCCATCTCCTTTTTACAACCAGTCAAACCAATTGTCTGCTGGCCCCATACTTGAGGAACCCATCTGCACCACAGTCCTTGAAAAAGCCACACGCTCTCTACAAATTCTATCATCACCCAACTGCACGTCGCGCTAACCACGGATGAAGCAGTCAAGTGGGTAGACCTACTGCATCGGAATCCACCAATGACCTGTTGCCGTTCCGCAAGACCTAGAAGCGAGCGTGAAGAAGTGAATTGGTTTACACTAGCTCGTAAAAGGACATTGGATATTGGATATAAGTGTTCTTGCTGGGATGTTGAACTTCAACCGCGTTGTTTGACCCATCACTTGAGATGGATGGTGATGTGTGTTCTGTCGGTATGTTGACGTTATTTTGTTTTATAAGGACTTTGAAAAAGTAGATGGACGGGATACTGATGGTCCAGCTACAACCACAGTGGGTCCAAACACAGTGGATGGTGAAGATGCGCAGACTGAAGCAGCTGGAGAGCCCAATGTACATGAAAACAGTGATTGTTCTAATGTGGAAGTGGAGCGAAATGCTGCGATTGCTGCCGCTGTCGCTGATTTTGATGCGGATGACCAGTGCGAGGAGAATGACTGTGATGATGATACGGTCAATGTTATCATAAAACCTTCCAATAAGACAGGGATTTACAAAACTGGTACAGCTTATCAGGCGCGATCTGTTTCCCACGTTACTCAACGTAAGTCTTGGTTAAATTTTCTTTATCTGATACCCATTAGACCTATTTCCTAGGGTAACAAACTTTTTATTACCTTTTTGTGGCCGATAAAGCATCTTTGTCAACTTGCGTACTTGAAATAGTACTGTAACTGCGCAGGACATGATTAAGATAATGTAAACCTCAAGAGTCGAGTTTTTTTCGGTAAAAGCTTTGGGGAGTAAGGAGCTTTAGTGTTTCCAGCCATGTCCTTGGGCTGATCACGTCTCGTGACTTATTAATTGAGACCGATAGGTATAGCAATTTTGTGTTGTAAACGTCCCGTACGATGGTTTCTTGGGTCCGATGCTTATGTTTATTGGGAATGTCATTTGCTCGGAATGGCTTGTTCGTCATGACTCAGCAGAAACTGAAAGAATACCGGTAATAAATCCTTACAAATCGGCTCTTCCGGCAGAGCTACTGCGCAAGGCTTGCAAGAAGACGGAGTTCATCCAGTTCAGTCCATCTGCATCATGATCAACTAAATTTAAAGACCTTCAGGGGGGATGATACGTCACAACTTCGGAAATGAAATCCCACAGTTTATATATTCTAACATCTAACGAGATCGCACGGACCCACGTTCGCTCTCTCATGCTGTACTCTTAAAAGATGGCCACTAGGGTGGGTTTTTATATTAAACCTTGAGGTGAATCAGTAAGAATGAAGGGACTGTGTGTGAGGTCATACATCAAAGCCATACTGCCCCTGATCCGCCTCTGTTGTATCGATTGTAAATAGGGGAGTGTATAGGCGATCAGAGTAAAGTTTGTGCCGTAATCCTATCACTTTTTTTTCTCAGATCTCCTCTTAACCCGTTTTCAAGCAGGAATGTTTTGCATCGAGTAAGTGGATATGACGAAAGTTGTTTCCTTGGTGCAGATAAATATGTATTCCGTGCACTTGTAAATAGAGTTGGTTCTAAAACTCGAGACAGAAACTGCAGGGCACCATAAGCCTTATTTGATGCAAGGTGACAATAAGCAGGAGCTGAAAGTATCACTAGTGATAACCTGTAGATCGTTTTGAATGTTTGAGTGGGAAGTATTTATTAGTCACAGGGAGTATATGTATACCTGTAAACTGATACTTCTTAAATAGTACATTTTAAATCACGGTGCTAAAGGCCTTAAGGAAGTCTTGTAGCCTAATATGAATAAACTCAGGTGAGAGGCCATGTATTATGGGCTGTCAGTAAGTTCATGTTGCGTGATCTGTCAGGTTAAAACCCGTGTTGAGAGTCAGCCCTAAGCTCCTAAGCAAACACAAAATGAATCACTATTTTCATAACCTTTGCAACTAAAGAGGTCAGGGAGATTGATCCATAGTTAGATGATAAATGTATTTCCACCTTCACATGCTGAGATGGCTGTCATTATTTCTCGATCAAACGACAACCTATCTTCCAGAAGAGAATAGCCTAAGAGGTTTGCTAGTGAGATGAATAGTGCATTGATACACCCTTTGAGCACTTTTAGGTCAATGACGTCAATTGCTGGGAGTTTACTAGTATTTGCGCTTCTTAAGATCCTTCTGATTTAAGTTTCATTCTATGTAATTTAACCCCTCTGTTGCGAGTGTAGCTAATATAAAGTTACCCATCTCACTCACTTTATAAGTTCTACAACTGACTCTACAATTTCTCCGTCAGATCTACATCAACCTAAATTAACTACATTATGACCATAACTGTTTTTATCCTTATCGCTATTTAGAAAGACTTGGCATTGTAGAACCGCAAGGAACAATCATTCCGGCTAGTATAGCTCGTCGAGCCATTGCGATATCCAAGGAAGATGGCTTTCTATCAAGAAAGCAGTTATTTGTGAATCTATTCAGTTGTGTTTATTAACTTAGGGTTATCACTTCTGCTTAGTACCACCGACCCGTAGTAGGTAATGGGATGCCTCACCGGTGCTGTGGATGATCTGAATTCGCAAAAGTCAATTAAGTCTTCCGTTTTCGTACCAAGAACTTCTTTGTCGCTAACTTATTACGGCTGATTTCCCAAGTTATTTTAGGCTAGAACAAGGTGTGACAAGATCGACCCACCAAAGACAAGAAGACAGAGACTTCTATAAATACGTCTATGACAAAAATAAGTAGAAGTGGTGAAAGTGAACATCTTTGACGGACACCACTCGATGTACGCAACTCACCTGATACCTCACCATAAACTCTAAGGCACCCACTAGTGTTCGAATATAAATGGTGTTGATGTACTTATCTGGTGGCTATTTCAGTGAGAGACCTCTTGTTTGACGCAGTCGAATATCACCTTCAGGTTGAGATATACAGCTAGTGTCCTTTGCCAGTAAGTTCGCCTGTGTTTCAAGACCCGGCGGAGCATAAAGGTCTGGTCAGTAAACCCACAAGCAGGTTTGAACTGTCTGGTTTATTTGGACTTGCTATTTCTTAGTTTCAGCTAGATGCTTAGTGATTATGGAACCTAACTTCTTGAATGCAATGGTTATCACAGGGAGATTTATCTCCCTTTTTGAAGACTGAGATAATCAGCGATTGAAGCCAGTCAGAGGGGGTCATACTCAATTCTCATACGCCAGCAAAACTTCAACTGATATGACCAGCAGCCTTCTACTACAGTCTTTAAATAATTTCGATGCTAACCGAACTGTTGTAATTGCAGTACGATCAGTTAAGAAGAAAGCTAAGGGTATGCAAATCATGACCTTGCCAACTGGTTATTCGTCTCAGTAGTGTAGACTTTTTGACTGGGAATCAATGCTTGTAGACTTTGGGTTATATGACTAAAAATCGCTGTCAGAGTTACAGATGCATCCATACCACAACCCACAACAAGTCATAGTTGTTTCTTGTTACAATCATAATTCACATTTGTTTTTGCCGCAGTGTTCCTACTGTTGTTGACTGACTTTCCAGCCAAATAAACAAAACAGAATGTACGTGAGAGTAGGTTATTCAGCACAGGGATGAATAAGAACGGTGTGCAAATTTAAGAAATAATTGTTCATTAATGTAGGAGTAAAACGGGCTGTGTTGTAGATTGTAATTTCATTTTAGTCAGTTTATTAGAAATATCACACAGTGAAACAGTATCATTTACTGGGTAACGTTTTGGACATAATTTATTGTCCGTATTCATTCATGATGTGAATATGAACAGTAAATTGTCCGAAACGTTATCTAATAAATAATACTGTATCCCTGTGACATTTCTAATAAACTGACTAGAATGAAATAATTGTTTGTATCATCAACACATGTGTCACAACTAACCTTCAGACAGCTGTTCACAAAATCACATCGTGTTTCATTTTTATGCCGACTTATAGATTTTTTGAAGGCTCATGCAGAAATCTTAGAATTTACAAGTGTCTTCGTACCATTGCTTGCGTTTGATGGAATCACCGTTTGAGCAATGCTGGGGTCACAAAAAGCTACTATGCAAATCGATTGATGAAGTTATAAAGATTCATCGGCTGAAGTGGCTTGGGCATGTTGCGCTTGCCGAATCACCGTCTATCTCGACGTACCATGCTAGGTGAAGTTAAACTAAGTTGTAAGAGATTTCAGGGGGGTCACACGAAAACGTAATAGCAGATAATGTAGTCTCTTACTCTTGGCTTGAGTCATATGGGGAGATGTAGGCTACCTGGTTGACTGGGGTCTTCGAGACGAAAGGAACCAGTGATTGATGGTTCTTGGTGTCATAGCTGGAAATCGTTCACAATGGTGCGGATATATTCACTATTTGACGTCTTCTGAAGCTTGAATATCCACACTAACCTTTGTCTTCAAATTGTTAGTGCTCTCACACAACCTTGTCTATTTTCTTACCAATCTTTTTCTATCCACTTGTTCTTCATGTACTACTGTGAAGCGTGAGAACTTAAACCGATGGAATTGTGTATGAGATTCTCCGTTGATTTTGTCTATCTGTCATGATTTTGACTACTTTATTCAAATCTTTCCGTCATAGCATTTCCTAAAGCTACCATTGCTAGTATCGTCATTGCAATATGTTCCTCGTTGGCCTTCTTGAGATGTCTCATTCAAATGTAGACAACAAGAACTTGATTTAATTGCATTTAGTTTCAAATTGTCATACTCCATATCTACGAGAGTAGTAGCATAGACTACTGTATAGTTGTCAATCAGTCAATACTAACATAGGATCAAGCATTACTGCACAACGTCCCAAGTTGCCACACCTCATATCAGCACAAATAACCAACTAGTAAGATGAAATAAAACTCGGTCAAAAGCAATGGATAACAGCAAAAGAGAGGAAGGAGAAATGAAAACACTGAATCCAGTATGGCGTTTAGGATGAAGATATACTGTGGATATATATATATATATATATATATATATATATATATATATATATATATATATATATATGCCACTGACCGGTCACACGCTGCTTTTATGCAAGTTTGAGATTTTTCGTTTTTTGCTTTCGAATCCGATTATAATTCCCTGTTACAGGCATCAGCATCCCGCGGGGTGATGGGAGTGTACTACTTTGGGGCCCGACCTTTTCCACCCCCCTCCGTCTCCATGGAGGAGGCAGCACCAACGTAGCACTGCTGGTCATCTAAAGTAAACACTTAACTGCTGTTGCGCTTCCGTCCAGTCAGGATTACGACTTCATCCTCAACCGCCCCCCCCCCCATCATAGCGTAGTAATTTACATTATAGTGGTAACTGCTTTTTATCTGACCACTATCCAACAGGCCTTTGGGGTATGGTAGGGCCCCGAGGGAACAAGCGTTCTGTCAGCATAGCTAGTTGAGTCATTGTGATATACAAACCCGACCACCACGTCAAGGTAGCAGCTATCGATCATGTATGTATAGTTGTGCCAGGTTCTGTCAACATGAAATTCATGATCATTCTTGTACATTTATATACGTCTTTTCTATCTTTCTGTTATATTCGTGCCAAGACGGGATAATTCAGGGATTCTGCAGCTGAGTCCTCAAGTGTATTGTAGTCTTCGTAATATGTTTACTTCTGATTAAGCAAATTTCCGTTGATTGAAACGTTAGCATTCATCGTCATGAACCTGTGTTACTGTCTCAAAGTATACTTATCGAATTCGATTGTGGTTTGCGTAAATTTTTCCAACCCTAGTAGCCTTAGTGGATGCACATCTAGACCTAGTCCCTGTTTCTTATCCTTAGTGTAAATCAGATTTTCGAACCTACCCTTTCGATTAATTTTGTAAAAAAAAACATGCACTCACCAGCCTTGTGCATATTCGTACAATAGGCAATGAGTCACACCTAGTGATACTGCCTGACTGCCCAAACCTTGGCATGAAGGGCGGGGTTCGAACCCGTGCCCCGTCGGTTGAATCAACTCCCTAAACCAATGAGCCGCAGTTCCACACTTATTTTGTAACCAACCCCTTAGTCAAACTCTAAAATCTTCCTATGTAGGTTTCACTTGTATGTACGAAACTGATTTACATTAACAATCAATCCACCAGTGATAAATAAAGTAACTTTGAGTTCATCGGTAATAAGTTGCAACCCGACCGACAACTGCTACTTTGAATTGATGATCGGGTTTGCATATCACCATGATCCAAAGAGCTATCCTGGTGAAACACTTGTTTGCTCATTAAGGTGACCAACAGTCTCATTCTGATGCTGGGGAGTTAGATAACGTTGGCAGACTCTCCAGTACCCTGCGGTCTTCTGATGTCGGCGGTATGGATTTATAAATGACTTAGTAAAAGCGAATCAAGATCTCAACTCCTAAAGAGTCCATAAGTGATCAGCGTCTAGCAGATGTCCCTTGGGCTTTGTGTTCGCACTTTGACACTTCTTTTTCAGGTACGTCTACAGAAATAGCCTTCAAAGGTGTGACAATCCGGCTTGTATACTTTGTTTACTGGTCTAGGACTGAAGGCATGCACAGGTAGTATGACATTTCCCCCAAAATCGTGCCTTAATTTTAATTACTGATGCTATACTTTTCAAACATGAAAGTTGTTTTGGCTCTAAGTTTAACTCATATGTTATGAAAACAATTTGAAAGAGTGTGGGTTCATTCTCATTAAAATTTTGTGCCCAGGTTTAATTAATCGCTGATTGTGTCTGTAGTGCAGAGACAATTTCTTGATGGTAGGACTGTGAAAAACATTCCTGGGATACTTAACTACATACATAATGCATATCGTTAATTAGATTCAACCAACTTTACTGATAACCAAAATTTCAGTTCTCAGAATGTACTACTATTGTTTTATAACTGCATGGGATATTTCTGACTAACTTATTTGTGTGTGACACAATCTTCAAGAGAATTTTTCTCAGGTTCCCTATAAACTATCATCTTTACTAGTCTCAGTTTACTAAGAGTTATTTACTGTTGAACCTCTTTTTGTTTGTTCTTTTAGATCAAAAAGCTCCCCGCCAAGGTGTAGAACTTGATGATCCAGGAAATATCAATGGGATCCCAACAGTGGAGTTTAATCTCTCCACACTGGGTGATGAAGAAAAGCCATGGAAGCGACCTGGAGCAGATATAACCGACTACTTTAATTATGGGTTTACTGAAGAAACATGGGTTCAGTATTGTGAAAAGCAAAAGATTCTCAGACAGGAATATGCAAACACAACAATCAAGCCTGTTTTAAGTAGTGGAGGTGCCACTTTGCTTCAGCGAATGCGTACTGGCACTGTTTCTTCAAACACCCGTTCATATGATACTTCTAAACAAGCTAGTATTAATGTAATCAACCTCAGCAGCTCTGGGTTGAGTGCACGACAGTTAAATTCAATCACTAATTCAAAGGCCTCAAATTCGCCATCTGATATTTCCAATCGACTGTTGAATGGAAATGCCAATAGTTCTAATTTACTGAGTCAGTTCAACCAACCACCACCTGGTTATTTAGGTGGATCTCAACAGGCTAGTGGAAATGCTAATAACACGGCTGTTTTCAACATGCCTCCGCCTGGTTTTGGGACCCTAACTTCTGGCACAAATTCACAGGTATTGAGTGCCACGAATCCCGCTGCTGCAGCAGCAGCAGCAGCTTTATTTCCCAACCTTGCGGTACCTCCTCCCGTTGTGAACAATTTGGCTGGGTGGCCTGCTGGTAACATGGCACTGTCTGGTCTTATTGCATCGGGCGATGCTATTATTGATCCTTCCACTGGTCAGATCAGTAGTATGATTGATCATGGGGATCGGAGCCCTGGTTCAATGTAGTAAGTAATAGTTTGTTATCATCTTATATCTTTATTCATTTTCATTCTTTCATTTTATCTCAGCTCTTAACAATTGCTAGTACTATTATTTTCTCATGACTGTTTCCATTTTGTTCATCTTTCCGTCAGTGTACTGATGTAAAATGTACAAACTTATACTGACACGGAATTATACCTGTCCCTATGTTGTTATTATCTATCTCTGTGATTGTAAACGATTCACATTCAGCGGATAATAATCAAAGGATATTGCTCACTTGTTGAGGCCTCATAAGGTCATCTCATTATCAACACAGTATTCGTGTGGTCTGTAAATCCGAACAGCTGTTGCTAATTTGTTTTGATCGGTCGTTACTACCGCAATCCGAAAGCAACTCTTGGAGTAACACTAAGCTGTTTTTGCTTACGCTACAAGAAGAAGCATTGATCACTTTTATCAAAATTCTATTTGTCAATATTAAATTGTTTTTTTCGTGGTAGCCTGATGTACTCAAACAACAGATCTGTATAGACATTGGCAATATGCACGGTTTTCCTAACACCTTGAGTGAAAACTTGTGAACATTTGCCACTAATCTTGAACCTGTCGCATTTAAACCAGTACTCTGGAAATGGTTTGCACCGACACCCATCTTAAGATTAAAAAACTAAGTGGTTTATCTCGTTAACTGGTTCATTTGTGTATGGTTGCAGTGACAATTTTGGCACATGCAAAAGATTTGTTTATTGCCTATCAATAAAAATAAACTGACAGTTTGGAGATATCTGTGCGGAGTTGTGGCTTATTGGTTTATGAAGTTGGCTTTCAACCAGTGGGTCTGGGGTTCAAACAAAACTCCACCTAAAGAGGTTTGGGCAGCTAGGTGGTATCATTAATCCTCACACAACAGATGCCACACGAATTTACACAAAGTAGCAAAGTGGATTTCGATTCGACCCAACATATCTGCGTTATCATACTTCATGTTCATGATACATTGTTATCGAAAGTGGAGAACGTCTAGATATTGTAAATCGATCGTTTGCCTTTTTTAATGCGTCTCTCGTCTGTGTTGGAAGCATATGTTAGTCAGATGTAGAATTGCAAACTAAAAAAGGCAAGTTAGTCTATACAAACAAAATGAGTCAAAGGTGTCCTTATCAGTATATGTTCGTAACACATGATCACTGATCACTTGCTCAGAAAAACTTAATCCTCCTGTCTGGAGTTCTGAAGTTACTAGAAATCGACTTTTGGAAAGTCTGAGCGATGTTGAGTAAAATCAATCACAGTGCAGATACATTTATTGTCTCTTACTGTCCATTTTTCCACTACCAACCTACTTGTCTCCAGATATCATAGTATTTCTTTTGGGTTTTTTCTCTTTGTGTGAATTGTGACAGCTTGAAGAAGTCCACTTTTGTACGAGGTACTTGATTCATCTCTGCGTCAAAAAAGCCAGTTCATGTTGAGAATTAAAAATATACATTACCAATCACCTACTCACTAGTCACTTAATTATCGTATTCTTGGAGTAGGTTTTTGTAACGATATTTCAATCGTAATCCGTAGTATTGTGGTAATCCTGTTTGGTTTGCTAACTTATATCTCAGTAAAACACTAATTGGCCAATGGTAACGTTCCTGTGTGCGACACTGGATGACACGGGTTCGAATTTCAAGCGAGCCATCAGTTCCTTCGAGGTCAAAGATACACACTGATGATGAGTGCCCACAACCACGAAACCTAGAGCTAGAATTTCTTGCCGATTTCCTTCAACCAACTGCCGCCTATCATAGTGCACTACGATAGTGAATCTCCTAGATTGGCCATATTTCAAAATGGTCGATAGAATTCGGCCAGCACTAAGGACTAGACAACATGAAGTTACTTGCTCTTCATTGACTAACGAACAAACCAATAAGATATTTCATCTACCTCTTAATCTTTTCCTACCGAACACTACTCAGTAAATATGCTTTCACTTTACTCATGACATGATCTCAGATCATGACTTTTTGACTTACACGTTCGACTTTCGACCAGTGGTCCACAAGTGTGAATTCCAATCTGTCTATTGAGGTTTACATTGTCAGATAACACCAGCTGTCATATAACAGGTTTCCCTTGCTACCTAATTTGTGAGCGTGGATACGGTTACTGAATTACACATTTTTCGTCATTGTTGAAAAGCTCTGTGTATTTTAAATAACGAAGGGGGGAGATACTGCGTGTGCAACAAGGGATATGAAACGAAAAATAACAACACCAGTATCAAAATGCACGAAAAAAGCTGACTAAATCATCGACAAAACATTCTCGTAAGCTGTGTATCCCTTAAGCGTTTTTACTTTCTTGTTACCTTTTATTCATAGAAGATACAATGAAACTTGTTAAATCCCTAACCTACCGGTTTCTTTGTTGTTACTGGTGTTAACATCATTTTCCTAGTGGGTCCTATGATTCACAGACCGAGGGATATCCCAAACGCTGATCTTAATTGTTGTTATTCCTTGAGTTATTATGTTCAGTTTGATCCTACTTTCACTAAGGTCACATCAGCAAACTCACAAAGAAGACGAAAATATACTGCTAGTTCACAATTTATTGTCTTTAGCAAGATATGTGGAGTACGCGGCTTTAAAAGCATGAGTAGCTCAATCAGAATGTCAACGAATAAGAACAAGAAATGGATACGTCAAGGATATTTATGATCGATTGACTCTTACTGAGTACGGATACAATGGAACTAAAGAATAATCGCTATCACTCTCGATTCTAAGCCGTGTTCGACATCTCAAGACACTGAGTTGCTGCATCTCTCAAACACCATTTGAAGAATTGTGATACAATAACATGTTGAATCAATGTTGTTGTTTATGAAATCCTTGAAGAATATCTGATTGTTCAAGCGAAAACAGTCGAAATGGAGTAACCAAGGTCTAGCACCAGTTGAATCTTTCTGCCACTAATAATGCAGCAAAATAAAAGAGGAGAAAGCTTCCACGGTTGTACGCATCTGTGAAGTGCTTTTCATTTGCATTCATTTTAGATTTTTAATGTTATTCTAATCTATGCTGTTATTTTCTTTATGTAACCGAGTTGACTATACACATAGGCTTTATCTTTGGTTATAGCTCGAATGAAGATACAATATCTCGGCGAGGTCGACGTCATTTTCATCAAGAAGATATCAGCTATTATGAAAGGTAATCCTCTTGTTTTATTTATTATGTTTTAATGTTCACTGTCGAGGGTAGGGATTAGGCTAGGAGGCAAGAGGAAATTAATTCAGTTTATGATGTGATCTGGTTATATTTAGTTTAGACCATGAAAAGGCGCTTGTTTTTGTGATGTAACATTCTGCCAGACTTGTTGAATTCTGGTTGGAAACAGCTTGCTATTCACGCTTCTCGTCGTATAAATTTTGTAGGATGAAATTGGCTGAGTCACTCGCTGTTTATCTTTGTTGTTCGCATTTTTTTCTTGCCCCCATTCAGATATATTCCGTAAGTCAAACGCATAGTTTTCGCAAAATGTTCTTCCTAAAGCTAGTTTTCTAGTTGCTGCTTTTCAGTTAACATTAGATTTTCTTTGAGTTTAGTTGGAAACCACTCCTATCGTCTGGTAGTGCTCACTTGTAAGAGTAAGATGATCTCAAACTGGATGACTATTTCTCTTATTTGAAGTCGGAATAGTCAATAGTGTATCTAAATTGATTTAAATCAGATAGTTGTATTGTTTAGACCAACCCGCCACAAATTGCGTTTGGTTTTAGTGGCTTCCGATACTCATGTCAGCCAGTAGTATATCTCACGCTCTTCTAGTGTTCGTGTAAACATGTTTATTATCTTCCAAGTTGGTGGCGTGATTTTGATTAACTTTGCATCAGCCTATAGACCGAATTTAAGACATTTTTGGATTTTTCTGATAAGTGCAACATCGAAATCATGTTTTTGCTTTTACAGATATCAACTTTTTAGCCATATTTATACGTGTAACATATTTTAACTATTAACTTGACTATATATAATGACGGTAGTAATTAACATCATTTGCGGCAGATGGTGTCGAAGTTTCGATTATAACCATTTTATATTAATGATAGATAGTGGCTAGCAGTGGAATCTAGGACGTGCATTTCTTCCTATTTGGGACTCGTCAGCTGGATGTACGTCCATCTCAGTGGGCGACATTATCCCCTTTAGGACTGGAACCCGGGACCCATCACTTCAAACCCCAGAGCAATATCCACTAGATCAGTGAGTCATAATAGCCACTTCTCGTGCAACGGGTATGGTTTTTATGTTGTTACTTGTATTATAATAATGATGGATATTGGCAAGAGACCGATCAATCTGGTCCAATGAACGACGGGATGATACAAGTAACAACATAAAAACCATACACGTTGCACGAGAAGCGACTACCGTGACTCGGTGGCCTAGTAGATAACGCTGTGCCCTTTGAATCGATCGGTTCCGGGTTTTAGTTTTAGTGGGAACAACAACACTCACCGGAAGGCAGGTACATCTAGCTGAGGAGTCCCAAATAAGATATAACATGCCTACTGGTCACTACCCGTCATCAATATATATACCAAGACATCCGCGCAGAAACTGGTCAATTCACTCCAACCTATGACGGGCTAATACAAGTAACAACACGATTATAACCACTTGTTTATTGGTAATCAGGAGGATAGTCGGTCAGTAAAATATCATCGTCAGATATATAACGGTACCGAATTTTATGTATATCATCTCTAGTTTTGTCGCACCTGATAGTATGACGTAGCCCATCGCTTCAGCTTTGTCATTCTCTGCATAATGACAGTTTGGACTAGTTTTTAGCTCTAAATATTATTTAGTATTTGTTCACCACATGCAGATAAGCAAAACGTGGTGTCATAATTTGGTAAGAAGGGGAGATGTGACATACTAGTTTAAGCACTGGACTTTAAAATAGTAACTTCAGAATTCAAATCTCACTCAGTCTGATTCGACCAAGACAACTAGTCAGTCAGGCTTGTATCTTTGCGCATACACTTTTAGCAAGTTGAGTTAATTTGTTTTAACTCTTTGTACTAACTGGTCCAATAGTTGTTTTCGATTTATAATCTTGGACAAGTTGAACAAATTTTGATAACTAAAGTTCGTTGCTCAGTAATGGGGTGTTGGGTTTCTTTCTAGGCATCATCAAATATACCATCTGTCTGCGTCTTTTTGGATTGTTTAATGAATTCGTCACTAACTATTGGTTATGTATAACTTATAAGAGGCTGAAGAACTCAATCGGAAATTATTTTTGAAATGGTTGGTGTATATGGGGTCACTGATTGTATATACTCATGTAGTAATCCAATGAGATGTCACTGAAGTAAATGTTTCAAATCTATCTCCCAAATGGAAATATAAGACAAAGTAAACCCTTGTATTGTGAAGGTTGTCAGATATCCATGATTTGTTACATAAATTCACCGCAAAAATAAGAGAATCCGGCCAGAGTTCTTACTCGTTTCATTCCATTCTCGGTGAACACGTGGTCACGGTTGTCAACCCCCACATAATCGTTACTGTTTGGAAAGATTGTACTGAAATCCACCCGTGTTAGTGATTAGCATTTGTAGATTTAACTTGACAGTTGCATGCAAGCTCGTGAATAACTCTGTACCTTAAGGAATATATAGTGTATACTACTGTTCAGCTGAGATATACTAGACTGGGTTCACATTTATCACCTTAACCTAAAGTTATTATTCAGGTTGTGGGACCGGTACTCTACATATTCGTCTGTGTTTTATTATACGTTTGTATCAGCTTTAATGTTCGACAAATTTTCAGTAAATATACAAAGAGGCTTGTTAGAACTTCATCACTGATGTTTTCAAAGATGGATCTGCATATTTTTGAACCTATAAGTGTGCTCCCTTCACTGTTAGGACTACTTTTTAGGCAAGAAACATCAATTGAGTCAACAAGCGTAGATAAACTGAAGTGTTTGGTTTATATGTTGAAAATTCGAAGCCATCATCTACGCCAAACAAGAATATCTCAGCACAGTGCTGAATATGATCAGATAAAGACAAGCACTAACCCGTAGGGCTTGCTGAATCTTGCTCTGAGTTATGTAAGTCCGTGTGGTGACTGTGATTTAAAACTTCACAGTGGCGCAAATACGTTCAGTTCTATTCACATGTGAATCTTTTTAATTATTAGTTCCCTATCTATTTATAAACATCTTGATGTTCATTTTAAAACATTTTAGCTTTTGTGTTTTCGTTTTCTGTTTGGTCGATCGTTTGTAGTATGAACTTTTCTCCCTTATCGTGCTATCTAAACACTTTATAGTTTTAAATTGTTTGAAATAGGAAATTATCTTCTCTTATGATGATTATAAAGAAAAACAGATTGGCGTAGGTTTTGATAATGGTTTGTCTGTTGTTGTACATTTGAAATTGTATCTAAGCTGTACCTTGGCAACCGATCTGAAATCAATTAATAAATTCTCCACAAACCTCCAGATTAAATTTATCTCGTGCTCACTAGTGACTAGCTTCGAGAGGTGATTTCCGAAGTCCAGTGACAAGTCGTGACCGTTGGAGCTATCCAAGTCGAACATGAGGATAGTTACTCAAAGGCGACATTGGATGGAGGTCGCGCTGTATCGTGAACTGACAGAAGTAGGAAATGTGGACCACTGAATTCCAACCCAGTGACTCAATAGTAACGTGCTGGCTGTTGAACCTGAAGGTCCTGAGTTCGATCCCTGTCGGGGTCATGAATGCATACTCCTAAGGAGTCCCATACTAGGCTGAAACAGCTATCCAGAGCTCCCAGGTTTCCAATGTTTCTCCAACTGATGTCAATTCCATGATGAAGATCAACCTGAAGTCAATTAATAAATCTCCACAAACCTGATTGAATAAGATACCTGCTGTGACATTTGCATCGTAAACTTGCGTCAAGCATTATCGTTAAACATGAGATAGTTAAAAGGGTTAGTGTTTAGTCACAAATACCCCCAAACATTGTTAATTGATGATGTAGTTAGTGCCTGAACATGGCTGGAGCTAAGGTTACCGTAAACTACGAAGCTCATGAATGTGTGGAAAACTTTATATCAACTTTAAAGTAGATTGAATAGTCGGTATGAAAAATACTTGAAAATTACGCATTGTATACAACCGAGTATCTTTTTCCAATCAAGTTTTCGTCATAAACCACCCAATCAACACCATGAATTGTAATCCCTTACATAGAAACATCATACAGTTATGAAATATCCTATTGGGCAACATAACTACGGAGAATTTAGAAGTGGCCAGCTATTGTTTAAGCTACTCTCATCTGGCTAGTGAAATTGGCAGGTCAATTTACGTTGTTTCTAAGTACGTCTATTGTTTGGTAGTATATTCCATTGAATAAGATTACAATGTTTCAAAGACAAAAGTCCATTGATATGACCCACTAATATATAAGGTATATATAATGGGGAGTTTCTTTCTTGCTGTCTGGTATTTAAATTTTTGTAGGACACGTAAATCGCATATCTTGAACATCTTCTTGGTTTCATCATAGGCTTGTAACCGGTGTATGATAACCACTTCTCTGATATGATCTAATTTGTAGTTGTTTTCTATTCTTCGATAAAAATTAATTAGATAATTATTTGTTTTAAGGATAGTGATTTTTTTACTCCTATTCTTTAATCTGTTATCAGTTTGTTCTCATCTGAAAAGATTGGAGATAATCGAAATCTTACTATGTGTGATGAAATTACTTTTATGTATATGCGGAAGTGAACATTTCCTTATACCACGTCTCTGAAGATGTATGCTAATCTGTTTATTGAAGATGTGGTTCATTGGTTTAAGCATATGTCTTTTAACCGATGCATCCCTTTTTCAAAACCAGCTACGTTCACTTCACCTAACTAACAGGGTAGTATCACAAACAGTCAGACAACAAGTATGTCTTATAGCTAAGTAAATAATTAATTATCATTTTTGATGAAAGTGATTCTGTACATGGCGTGTTTCAAAGTAAAACTTGAACTACTTTACATAGGTTGATTACTAATAATCCTTTTTTGAAAATCAGTTTGACTGTCTGAGATAGCCTTAGATTTGATAAACTTATATTGGTACTGGGTAGTGGTTGAAGCTGAGATGAAAATTCAGACCGCGGTAGGAATTAGAGTGTTGAGACTGTGTAGATATCAGTAATAATATTTTGCAAGATTTTTTTTGTTGCCTAAAAGTAATTGTGTAAAATGGCTTTCATTGTTGAACTCTTCAAATAAACAAACTTTTTTAATTTGTATGTTAAAAGCAGAATCTGTGACTGAAGTATGAATTATGCTTTTTTATTTGTACCGTGATGCTTTTATGTGCCTTTGTGTTCAATGTACTGTTGATGTTTGTATGTTTTCAATAAATTCAAACAATGCACTCGCTGTAGAATTTCGTAGGACACCATAGTTATGGGCCATAGTTAATCGTAAAGTAATGGTAATCAAACCAATGATTTTAGACAACCATTAGTTTAGGAATAGGTTCTACATGATGGTGGAATGCTTTAACGAGAGCACAATCATGAGTACTTTTGTTAATCATTAAGTTCTGTTCTCGAAAAGATTCCAATAGCCTGTTTCTTATTATTTCACATGTAGAGACGGTTATCGTTCACGTCATCGTAGTCGCTCAAGTAGCCGAGATCGCTATCACTCTCGACATCATCGGTAAGTTCGTCTCTTCAATTATTTTCTGTTGATATTTAGGTTACCTTAACACTATGATTAACTGAAAGGTGTCCCTTGGGTTCCTAATGGAACATAGGGCTTCAGAAGCACGTCTCCAATGCGCTGTTTTCTGAAATCTTTTGAACCTGGCTCCACGACAGTCCACAAGCTCTCACTTGCTCCTCGCACGATCTCCTCCATGTCACCCTCGCCACGGATGTCCAACTCGTCGCTTCCCATGCGGATTCCACTCAAGCAACTGGCCTGTCGCGTGATGTCCCCAGTTGGCCTTCTCAGTGTATGCCCAATCCATCTCCACTTCCTTCTGCCTATTTGTTGGGTGATAGGTTCTTGGTTGGTTCGTTGCTGGCCAGAGTTCCTTGTTGCTTATTCTTTCTGGCCTTTTGATCTTCAGTAGCGAGTGAGCGTAAGCAGTTGTTGATGAATGTCTGTATTTTGTTGGAAATGCCTTTCGTAACGCGCCAAGTCTCTGAGCCATACAGAAGCATTGACTTGACGTTGGTGTTGAAAATCCTGATCTTGTTGACGCTTTGTGCTGAGTGCAGAAGATCTCCACACTGATTTCAGGCTAATGAACGCCTGTCTTGCTTTTCCGATCCTGGCTTTGACTTCCTCGTCTGTGCCACCTGTAGTTGGAACAGTGCTGCGTAGATAGGTGGGGGCTACTTCCTTTAGGTTTCTCCCACTGATGGTGATTGGAGTTTGTTGTTGCTGTTGTATCATCTGTGAATATGTTTAGTAGTTTTGTATCATTTCACAATATAGTAAATATGAATCACCAGTGTTTGTTGGTGGAAACAAAAGTTGTGGTCTTGTCGAGAATATAGGTTATTGTAATAGCAGATTAAAAAGCAAAGTATTTCTAAAGTTTAATAAACCGATTATCTTCATGTGTTTCATGTTGTCTGCTTTCAATAGTTATTTCACATAAATATTGAGTGTTGAAATCAACTTCACTTTTCGCTTTATATACGTTGGGTTCCTTTGTTTGAGTAGCATTAGTAGACAATTGAATGTCGTGGTACCACACATGGTTTTATCTACAGAAGTTGTTACGAGATCTAGGTGATACTTTGTTGTATTTATTCACTGAAGTAGTAATGTTCCCGCCGTTTTATGATTCTCATTATTATTGTTTGATACATTGTACTTTCAATTTGCATGATTTCTTTTGATTAAAGGCATCGTGATTCATCACGATCTGGACGAGACTATGAACGCCGTAGAGGGACGTCACGTCATTCTCGCCGTTCACGTGAGGATCGTTATTCTGGAGGTGTTGGTCCAGAGGAACATAATCCTGTAGACGCTCCATCGCCAAGTGCATCAGGCATTAGCTCACATCGAAGTAGTGGGCGACGAAGCGACCGTGAACGAGACCGATCTGGGCGGGACCGTAGTCGTGAAAGAGAGCGCAGTAGACATCGAAGTGAGCGTCGAGAACGGGAGAGGTCAGTTCGCCCTTCTAAACAAAGTGACCGTCATTCATCACGTCGCAAAGATCAACCTTCCCCACCTAGACCTCCTTCTCAGATATCTGTTATTACTTCAGATAAACAAGCGACTTCTAAACCTGATCCCCTTTCAGCTGCAGCGGCTGCTGCTGCAAATATCGCTGCCGCTTTGGGAGCATCTAATCCCAGCAGCAAAGTTTCCTAATAAGGAGCTGATTTCTTTTATCAACTCCTAATGCTTTGTACAGCCTTTGTATTTCACGTGAATATATTTTCTTCACTACTTTTTTGTGTTTTACCAGCTTTACAGTTTGTCATTAACCCTATTGACTCTACAGATTTCAATTTATTTGTTACCGGTTTGATGTTTATTCTCTCTCTAGAGTAGTTTGTAATCTACTAATCCGTTTTCTGTATTCATTATTAACTATCCACTTTTTAATGAATGTGTTAAGCTGTAAGATAGTGTCTCTTAAAATTTTGTAAGTGCATTTTAATACTGTTTAGTGAAAGGAAATCATTTTTATTGTAATATAGCCTTAAAACTCTAACTGAGTGGTTACATTTAAAATTTGTGCATATATACTCATTGAAGTGAATAACTATCAATCTACAATGGAAATCATTTGGAAAAGTTGATTCTTTTTCATCCTTTTTGATCTTTCTTAAAGCTATTGTTTTTGGTGTTTATTATGTCGATTTTGTAATGTATTGCATATTGTCTTGATCCAACATACCAGCATAAGAAAATGTTGTAGATATACCTTTCACTAACGTTTTATTACTGGAATTTTAAATATGGGTTTACTTAAAATTTCTACGTTTGAACAAATCAAAGTAGCATCTTGCACATTGGTACATTAGTTCCAATTGCCACATTGTTGTTGATAGTATCCTCTAATTGTGTAACTATCTAACACTAGGTCATATGTCCAACATATTCAAGTACAAATATTCTTCTTCTATATTATTTGGTGATCGGGTTCGTAGATCATCAAAATAATGTTTGTATTTTATGCAAACAATATTGATCTGTCTCAACTTTTACAAAGGTCACACTTACTGCAACTAAACACTCTGGGCAAACTTTAATTGTTTGGAGTGACTTTTCTTATATCTCATCGCTTTACTTACCCAATGCTCAAAAACTCGTTTTTTAGTAGGGTAAATTAATTTCTTACTTGAGAAATTTCTAACATCGATGTTTTATAGCATAGAATTTTTATTTTCGTTGGTAAGGGAATCATATCACTGATGTTAAATCTTTTATTTGACACCAAAGCAGTATGAAGAAACAGGTTTCTGTCAAACGTTGCATTTCATGGTCATCCACTAGGGTTAGGGTATTTCTCTTTACTTCAGCTTTATGGTTGCTGGATTGAATTCATTGCAGATGGAGCTCACCCTCTATCATATTAAATTATGTCTATATTTGCGTTGTTATTGAATGAGTTGCCAGGACTACAGTTGATTAGGTGTGAATGCACTGAACGTTTCTCCAAGATTTTCACCAAAAAGCTACTTGTTGTCACGGCGGGGTGCTGTGAAGTATACAGCTTTTCTAGTAAAATGCTTGTCTTTCTATAGTGTAAATATGGACATAAGATTGGATTTATGTTTTGAATCTTACCCAGATATCAATCATAAGTTATTTGTGTAGTTGTTTGTCTTTGAGTTGATTAGTAGATAATCTTTTGTATATCAAGAAACCAGCCATACTGAATTTACGTAACTTATACTTCCTTATCATCCACTGGTAACACTAGTCGCCTAACAACAGCACAGTAATGTGTTGTTCGAGTGAAAACAAGAAGAAAATGAATCGTTTTTGGAGTCTTTCATTTGCTTTTCTTGCTTAAGCGTTTATGCTGTTGCACTTTCACTTCCAGACAAGATCATCGTGGTACCTTGTACTGAAGTCTACCAGTTCTGGCCTCAACAAAGCTGTGTCATAGCAGAACGAGTGAATCAAAGTAATGCGTTGCCTAAATAGAGGAAAAAACATGAGAGGCGAGAATAAGGGGTCGTTGAGATTGTTGAGGATATAGAAAGCAATCAATTCGATTTATACCACCAAGAATTCAGCTGTTGACTGCAAACATCTTGAAGACCTCAGTAAAACAACCTATACGGTTCTACCTAATGGTCAGATACACCATTCCTGCGTTTATTGTTTTCCAACTCATGTTTTAGTCAGACATGTATGTGAGAAGTCAAGTTGTTCGTATTGATTGTCAAAAGTTGAATTTCCTACAACTCAGATTTGATATAACATGAGTGCAAAAAAACGTGCCGCAAGTAATATCACAAAATTAAAGAGTACGAGAGGTGTATGTGACAGCAACATGACCAATGCAGACACGTATAATACATCTGAAGATCTGAGATTACTTTTGAATAGTCGAAGACATGAAGAAAACAATGTGATTTGTATCTTTTTCGTTTCTAGGCTGTAACTACGGTTTCACTCAGAAAGTCCTTATGCACTAACAGGTATTATCAAAACTACAACCTTATAGCACTGCTTCATAAATTAATCACCGCTTCTTCCAATCAGTCCCAAAGAAGAAGAAACAGTTTGCGCGTTTTAAAACCTGTGTTTGAAGAGGACTTTACGTATTGAACGGGTTTTTCATAACACGCTGTATTATGTTACATCTATCAACGATGATACGATCAGTTTCCCCTCTGAAGGTTTTGAGCTCATTAAGGAGCGGATGCAACTGGAATTCGGACCGACAAATAGTCTGCGTAATGACCATAAGCACGAATGGGCAGCGATGGCTGAAAAAGGTGGTGACAATAGGCAACAGTTATTTAGACTGATCAAAGAAACGAGTAAAGATGACAGTAGTTAGTGAGACTACATGCGAGATAAGTGGATTTCCCATTCACTCATAAAGGAGACTACTGGTATTATGAGTGGAACACGTCAAGAGACAGTTGTGGTACCTGGAGGAGGGTAAAGATCTGGCCGATGCACTCAACCAAGTTTCATACTTTCCTGGCTTACTTGGGTTTGCTGTTCCTAGGCTTCACCTAAGTGCTTAGTGATTATGAAATTATGGACGAAATTTCCTTCGTCAGGGTGGTTCCCCTATGGCCATCACTGAAGAATTCCTCTCCTCTCTTGAAGACTACTATAGTCAGATATTTAGATCAGTCAGATGGGATTATGTCTGATTCAGATTGGCTAGCTAGCACACACTGGCCACCGTCCGTAAATACCTCTGTACACTGACCCACAAGGACTTGCTGCCCCATCTGGTTATTTACAGCCTCAACTTCTGCAGCTGTATTACCTTTGTTGAGCATTAGCGTGCAAGTTGAGTTTCTTGCATGCGGAAAATTCAACTTTACGCAATGAAAATAAAACAACATGGTGGAAATGCTAAGTGTCACAGTAACTCACCGATACTCTGCCATTCAGAAGCGTCATCGTAAGTAGGAATAACATGGAAATGTAGCTGAAGAACTGCCAACCTGGGCGAATTGTTGTTGAAAATAGCTACTTCATATCATAGCTACTAGTCAATAAGTCACTGAAGATACCTATTGGGCTCGTTAATGTTAGTGCAGACCTAAATACTTCCACTACACTTCCGTTATTGTATACTTCATACAGTGACATTATTCTATGATTAAGTGTGGAGTACAATTTATTGCTTATACTCATATATATATATAGGTCACTGGAGGGTAACCAACTTCATGTTGTCCTGATCGAATTCTACCGATCATTTTGCAAAGTAACCAGCAGACTAGACAGCTCGGCATCACGATGCACTTTAATCGTTTAAAAACTATCAGTTACTAAGTAAACTAGAAGAAATAATTTCACTTTTATTCCTGTGTATGAATGATATTTATTTATCTCATGATTTCAGGTTGTTAATTCATTGTCATCATATAGTGTTTCATTAAATATAATTCCTTTAAATTAGCTAATGAAACAATTAGTGACAAAAGCCTTACCTTCCAGATGGTATGGTAGTATATTGACGGTTAGTAACAAGCGACATTGAATTCTTTGACTGTTTGGACGCAGTGTAATTGTTGTCGATTGCTGGAAGTTACCATAGTATCTGTTATGTAACAGAACGGCCTGATGTTATCAAGGGTCCCGAAAATATACCCGAGTGTAGCACTTTTCTATACCACAATTGACTGCTAACCATTTTATTATGTAGCAGAAGTGCAACCAGTGGCCATTTTTACATACTTCGGAGAATTAATATTCATCCCTGAATAGAGGTCAGTTAAATAATTGGTCGCATCATTCGTTCAATCAATTACCTTACATCAGCAAAGGTTTTATTCATCACTAAAATAAGATGTGATCGAATAAGTGCTGCAGAAAAAGTTGCAATCTTTGATACCTCCACGCTATCGGTAACTGACTTCAATGTTGTCTTTAACAGTCTAGACCTAAATTTTAGACAAGTAGAACATGCGCGCAAGCCTATGAAATATATTATCGCTAGGTAAACTTTCAGGAGTTTTATTCAAAGATGTCCGTTATGTGAATTGACAGGGTCATGCTTAATTGACCTGCATATTTGCAGGAAAGTTGAAGTGGTTATCGCAGCTCTTCAAGCAACCCCAATCACTATCATTGACGATATCAACGGTAATAACGTAAACGTTTAAGTATTAAATGCAAAATTTATCTATTTTACTAAGTGCATTCAACTTCATAGTATTCTGATGTATATAGTTCTCAAAGTTATTACAACTTATCTTCGTTTGCATAAACCTCTACACTATATATTGACTATTATTCAGCTTTACCAGTTATTCATAGTAGATTTGGTAACTGGACAAATCAACTCGGCAAGTTTCTCAGTAGTAGAGGATATGGTAAAGGATAAATACATCTGTGACACTGACTGCTTTTGCATTATGTCACCAAGAGTCTATAACCACAGGTTCCTAACATCTTGATAACTCTTGTCATGTAGCTTACACCTCTGTAAATGTCTCAGATTAATAGTCAGTGAATTTTAGGATTCTTGTGATTCCTTAGTTCAACCACTCCAAATTTCTGTTAAAAACTAAATCAAGTCGATTCAACGTTTTGCATATGAATTCCTAAACAGCTTTTTTTGAAGTTACATCGTCAATGTTACTGTGATTTTTTCTTGTTAGAGTGCTATGAAGACGAAAATCTGGGACTGATTTCTGATGACCGTCCATTATGCATCTCCTTGATTAATCTTATCATTGCAAAAATATCAAGATTTACAGGATGAAGTAGGTTCATTTTATTTTATGAATTCGCAGCCAAACTCTAGTCTATATCTGCTGAGGAGTTCCATACTAAGACGAAGCAACTGTCTAGGGCTTCTAAGTTTCCAGTGGTTCTCCAGTTGATGTCAGTCCCTCATGAATACTACCTTAAGGATTTCTGGTTAGTTTGAAGTAAATTAGATGGAATAACTTTGCCGATTCAGGAAATAAACGAAACTATCAATGTTTGCATCGACAGTAAAGTATCTTTTATGCATAGACAGAAGAAAGGTATAAGTTAATAACTGTTAGTCCTTGAAAATAGGTTGGGAAAACTGGAAACTAACTGAATACATTTCACACTTAGATAAAAGATGAAATTAAAAAATTAGACTTAAAAGGCAACGATTCAGGCTGTAATGAGTTGAAGTCAAAATATAGTTATCGATACAGTGTTACTGTCACTCAGTATGTACTTACATACATGGATCATGTTAAGCAATCGATCGAGGCAATGAAAAATAGTTGGAAACTATTAATCTCTTCACACTTTAATTTGTCTACTAGGTATATCGCAATGAGTTTATTGGATAACATGATGTAACTAACAGAAGAACTAAAATGAAATTGTACTGTATTATCGTGTCTAAGTTCTACTCTTATGTTTGTGCTCGTGCCTTCATTATTATAAACATAGTAAGAATATCCGCTGTGTATTCTAAATGGATTTGACAGTACATGATCGAGTCCTAAACTCTCCTGAATGTATCAAGAAAACTAATTAAGTCATAATCTTCTTGAAATACTTGCTTTGACAAATTAATGCTAATTTG